CTTTCTGTCAGCTGCCCCAGATTCCACCGCCAGACCTTTATCCAGGTGTTAAAGCTTTCATCCCTGTTAAAAGGTAGTTACTTAACTTTAAATCGTGTTAGACACTTGCACCGTGACATGTTACACACATAAGGATCTCGGATTGTAAAAGCTCAAAAGGCCATTGGCCATAAAGTCCCTGGCACTTGGTTTGGGTGTGGTGGGGAGGGTGGAATGAAGCTGCTGCTGAGAAAGAAGAAAAGGCCAAGAAAGGAGTAGGCTCGGAGCAAAAAGAGAATCTGCATTTTCAAGAAAATTTGCCTGGGATTGTTTTCCTATTTATGAAAACATTCCAGTAAGAAAGTGATTGTGTCTCATAGCAGACATGGGTGTATTTCTGGGTGTGCCTCTTATTATTTATTTATTTAATTTTTTATGTTTGAATAAAATAAAATTTTTATTTTTGGACATTTCCTTGGAGTCCTTGTCCATAGGCAAGTATTTTGTGAAGTGTGATTTTAATGGTAATAATCAGGTTTCACTTGGTAATCATACTGCTCATTTTGCCAGCATTTACTGAGTCTCTGTTACGTGCACAGCATCAACTAAGATGAAGAGAAATGCGTTACATCTCCGCGTAATTCCACTTAAGCAGGAAGAAAGATACAGAGGCAAACCACGTGTGTGTCTTTTGGCAACTCTTGTTGATGGGTTTTTCACTTGATCGTCTCTCTGGTGCTAGATTCAAAGCTTAACCTCCTTGGAATATTTTATTTGCATAGAATTCCAGTTGACTTGGCTCTATTAGACATTCTTTTTTTTTTTAACACCTGTATTGTGGTGTGATTCCTGTACAGTAAACTACACATATTTCAGATGTACAATTTGATGAATTCCGATTGATATATACACCCATGAAACCACCACCACAGTCAAGACAGCTAGCATTTCCAACACTCCCCAAGAGATGCGAATTTCAAATTCCCGACTTACCTCTTCCCACACCCTTTTTAGGCAGATGGCTTATCTCTACTTTCAGAGTTACAGCTGGAGACCAAGCGGAAAGCTAGAAAGAAAATACATAGACTTTAGCAGAAAGGAGGCCCCAGCCGGGTAAAGAGAAGGGGAGAAAAAGAGACTCGTGGGGACAGTGGGGAGGGTGGAGGTGAGAGCTTTCTAGGGGCCTGACCAGGTAACTGATCCCCTTGGTGAGAGACTTCAGGTGTCGAGGCAGAAAGAGCCTTTGAGAGGATGATGGGGGATCATGACCAAACTCTAGAACAAAATACCTAGAACTAGACTATTTGGAGTGGGAAATAATAGAGAATTGGGGAGGAAATGATGGTGACAACATGCTTTTTCCTTAGTGGAAGGTTTCCCTCCTCACCTCCCTATTTGTGTGTGGTACTCAGACTCAGATCTGCTTACAGCATCAATACTTACCACATAAAATCATCATTTTAAAATTTTCAAGGCTAGGTCTGATTTCAGACACTCAGTCCCATTGTTGGACACCATACTGTCTGTGGGTAGGAAGTCGAGGTCTCTGTGTCCATACAAGTGTCCTCGGCCATATGGTAAGTAAAGCCCTTTATATGCAAATCAAACAGGTAGCAACTCTCCTTCTCTTCAAGGTCCCTCACTGTGACCTTGCTAGCCATCCCAAATTTCTTCTCGTAGTTAATAGCTTCATGATCCGTCTTATCACTTGAGCCAAAAACCTGAGAAAATTCTGTTATTTATCTATTGCTTCATAACAAATTACCCCCAAACTTAACAGCTTAAAAAAACAAAACTTATTATCTCACACAGTTCCTGAGGGTCAGGAATCCGGGAGCAGCTTAACTGGGTTGTTCTTGCTCGGGATCTCTTACAGCCTTGCAGGCAACTGTCTGCCGGGGCCACAGGCATCTCAAGGCTTGGCTGGAGCCAGAAGATCTTCTTTCAAAGTCACATGCAAGGCTGTTGACAGGCCACAAGTCCTCACTGACCAGAGGCCTCCATTCCTACCACGTGGGCTCCTCCATAGGCTGCCTGAGTGTCCTCATGACAGGGCAGCTGGACCCCCCCCCCAGAGCAACTGACAAGGCAGAGAGAGAGAGGAGAACCCCTAAAATGAAAGCCACAGATTTTTCAATAATCTCATCTCAGAAGTGACTTATCCTATTGGTCACACAGACCAACCATGATGCAGTGTGGGAGGGGACTACACCGGGTGTCAATACCAGGGTCGGGGGTCGTTGGGGTCCATCTTGCAAGCTGGCTGACCCAGTGAGGTCTTCTTTTCCTTTTCCCTCTCCTTCAGCAGATCACTACATCCTTCTGATCCTTCCTCTGCAGTGTTTCTCACATATGACCTCACCTCAAATCTGACTGTTTCTCTTGGAAAAAGGTGTGGAGGCTGATGGAGGAAGCCTTGGGGACCACGTACCTAAGGGCACAGGTGGAATGGATAATAATATGCCCACGTGGCCTCAAACCCAACTTTACAGGGAGAAGGAGAGCAAACGTCTTGGCAAGCCAGTCTTTTGGGGAGGATTTGTTCCTTTTGCAGGGAAGGATGCCCTGTAACACCAGCGTCGTCCTAGGGAAATGAGGTGCTGCATGCAAAGGCAAGGGAGCACAGATACGTTCAGACATGGCCTAAGCACCCTAAGAATTAAGACCATAATGTGGGTCAGCTCCCCTTTGCAAGAGGCAAAGAAAGTCTTAGGAGATCTCTAGGCAAGGGCCTCCCACTTTCCTTTAAGCATCACAAATAGATTTAACTCCATAAATCTCCTTAGGTTTGAAGTAGATTCCTAGAGCTGATGAACTGAGAAAAATTATGAGTTCATCCGGCTCCAGTGAGAAAGAAAGCCTTGGTTCTCCACGCCTGCCATTGTCAGAGGAAGAGGAGTTACACCTGTCATTTGGCCAGTGGCAAAAAACTCTGTCTACACTGACGATACTTTTCTTCTGTGAACCCTTCCCTGAGATGGGCCTTTTGGGGGGGAAAAAAAAAGCAGGTGGGATTTTGAGAACTAGCCTGCCTTGACCTCACCTACCTGAGCTGCTAAAGCGTCACTCCCACCAGACACCCACCACCAGCAGCCCCCTGGGAGAAGGTGGCTTGAGGAGACCTCCTCTTTAGGTTCTCAAACCTGAGGCTGGACAGTTGACTAAGGTTAAGTCGGTTAACCAAGGATCCGAGGGGACCAGGGTGGGAGCACAACTCTCATTGAAATTGATGAGAGATTCTGGGCTGTCTATCGAAAATTTATCTTTATTCTTGGATCTATGATTCTGGAACACAGAATTATATGTTTATGGACTAGAACAAGCAATAGAAGTCACCTATCCTCATTTTGCATGGGACTCAGAAAGGTCAAAGGACTTTTCCAAAGCCATTTAATAAGTTGGTAACCCAGCCAGACTAATCTTGAATTTCTAACCTATTTTACCCTGCCCCATGTCAAACCTCTGTGGTATCATAACCTAAACACTTCTAGGATATACAGACTGCAGCTGCCTGTTTGCTCTAAGGTCCATTTTCTGCTCTGATTGTGATCATCTCTGAATGACAAGGAAAACTCATCTCCCGGGCTCCCTTGTCTTCCGGCCTCTTGCCAGGTTTGGCCAGTGCGAGGCACTGGTAGAACATTTGAGAGCAGGAGTTGGTGAGAACCAGATGTTTCCTCTCCTCTCTCTGCTTCTTTTGGCATTTCCAGCAATGACTGAGTCTCCTCCAGTCCCAGCACCCATCGTGACTCTGGCTTCTGCCAAATGACCTCTGCTGCTGTAACCCTGTAACACCCAGTGACGCCAGCTCCTCCAAACCAAGTCACAGCTACTTCCCACTGCAGCTGATCTCTGCCTGCCTCACTGTCCCGTCTGGTTCCTCAGCTCTTCAATTACTTATGTAACCAATTCCCTGTATTAAATTACCATGTTTATTAAGACCTAGACTGGTTTCTCTTTTCCTTCCTAGACCCTGCTCTGCTGATGGAGTAAGGACCATCATTCTGTATCACTGCACATTGCAAGAACACAATAAATGCTCAGTCATAACAATGTTAACTAAAAAGGAAAACCAGTTTATGCAAGAGAGGTTGTGCTCTGCTGTATTATTTACGCTGTAAATCAAGCTGATTAAAACTATATCATATTTGTCATAACTCTTGAAAAGCAGAAAGTGGAGACATTTTCCTAAGACATCTTCCTGAGCATCAATCTGTGCCTTCTACTCTGTGGTGTCAAAAGAATAGCTTTCTTTGATCTCATAGATTTTTTTTTCCATCTCTGTTGGTGACTTAATCCTGGAAGGGATTGTTCTTGGTATGGGTGGGTTTGTATTTTTTTTTAACTATAGCAGAATGAGCCCTAACGTCATGCCATTGGCTTCCCACACTTGCTTTGGTAACAACTGTACACTTGGCCTCCCGTCAAGCCTAGTTGTTGTGACCTGCGGTCCTGTATATACGCCAACCCCTGTTCTTGGCCTTCACACAAGGATCCCCACAAGGGTTCCATTTGAGGTGGTGGTTTCCAAGATCAAGGGTATCTGCCTGCCAGCACTGGGTCTGAGACCACCAGCTTGTTTTTCCAAGCATTAATGTCTCAGCGATCTCTAAACCTGTTTCCTTTTTCAGAATATTTTCCAAAACGTTTGTGAGAGTGTCTCTAAGACTTTTTTTCTTCTGAAGTCCTAAGGGCCTAAGGGGAGGGGCAAGGGTAATATAAATGTTAACTTGGCAGACTAGTATTTAAAACTTTATTCAAAAAATATTTTCCCCCTTTTTAAAAAAAAGCAACTCTCTTTACATATTAGATTAATTTATTTGGGAGAAATTACCACTTGACCATTCACATAGCCAGCCCTTGGCAGTTTCAGTTCAAGATGCTTTGAAACCAGTCAACTACAAAGCCTCAGATGTTTGCTCTTTAAAAGTTCAACTTAACCTTCACTACCATGGTGGTGAGAAAAGTGACAACTCATTTTAAGATTCTTGTCCTTTGTTTTCTTTGTCTTCCTTCTGCAGGCCATGTGTTTATACTATGGGATCTCCCATAAACAACAGGGCCCTTTTTCCATGCCAGGAGCCACCCGTTGCCATGTCAACATGGCAGGCTACAGTTCGAGCAGCTGCATCTTTTGTTGTTTTAATGAGTGGAGAAAATTCTGCCAAGCCGACACAGCTTCGGGAAGGTACTGTCCATGTGTTCTGTGCTTCTTTATGTATTGCACACATGCTGGACCCAGGAACCCAATACCCAGTGTTTTTCTCAACTTTAAAAGAGCTCCTTTATTAGTTGGGTTGGACTGAACATACTATAAAAACATCCTGCCAGAGAAAACAGCAGGGGGTGGGGAGGGGCACTTGGGAGCCAAGGCATGGCGTGTGGGGCTCTTCATGCCAGTTATCAATTGCTGGATTATTTTGGCAGTTGCTTTCACCTGATGGTTTGTGGGCTCCAAGTGGGTGGTCTTGGTTGAAGACTTTCTAGGCAGGCAGGTGTGTCATGGAAACACCATTACAGCTGAGTTGTTTGTGGTTTGGTCATGAAGCCTGTACAGGGCTAGTCATTATGCTGAGCGACAGTGCCCCTGTGGTGGGCCCACTGGAGTTGCCCTGGTGTTGCATCTGCTCTGTACACTATTTGGTCATGAAGTTCTGAACCAGCGGTGTGTGAGAACATGGAGGGCGAACGCTAACGCATCATCAAAGTTTTGTCTGCCAATTTCTTGCTTATTGCAGTAATTAACTCTTACAGTCAAGATCCTGAGCATGTTGATGCCAGGTAAAATTTTTATAATTGTAGTATTTCCTAATTTAAAATTTGGTGTTTCCTTCCACTACTTATTGTAGAAACATTGCAGAAAAGTAAAAGTAATACAATTAAATAATTGTCAAGAAAATGGTTGCTAACATCTTGTTGCATTTCCCTCCAGTATTTAAAATCTCTCTACATAGTACTGATTATCATTTCCAAGTTGTCATCATAGCATGTAATAGTTTTGTACTCTGCTTTTTTTCACTAATAGTATATATCTTGCATGTTTTTCAGGTCATTAAGTATTTTTCGAAAATATGACTTTAATGTCTCCATAATTTTTACTGTATGAACATATCAGATTTTATTTATAATTTTCAGATTATTAGACATTTTTATTGTTTCCAGTGTTTTTTTTTTCTTATTATAAATAAAGCTGCACTAAATTCCTGAGGAGCTGGTTTGTATAAAATTAGAATTATTGAGTCAAAAGTTTTGAATGTGTTGAAGGCTGTTGGTACACATCTCAGGTTGTTTTCCAGAAAAGCTGTACCAGTTTACACAGCCATTAGTGGTGATGAGATCCCCTTTTCCCTGAAGTTTCATCCATCTGATAGGCAAGAGAAGGCCTCTCTTTAATTTGGATTACTTTGATTATTCATGAGGTTTCATGTGTCCTTATATGTTTCTTAACTGTTTTCATTTCCTATCTGTTCATTTCCTTTGACCATTTTTATATTGAAGCCTTAGGGAGGTTTCCAAAAGTTTGTTTTGTCTTCTAATTTGATTGGCTCTGTAAAAAAGAAAGATATTGGAGCTTCCAGATTGGTGGACACGGGGAGATGTGTACCTGGTGAGGGCATGGAAGCTTGGTGCCCCTCCCCACTCACCTTGCCCTGTGTGTTTCTTTCATCTGGCTGTTTCTGAGATACTGTGCACTTTTCATCAAACCCAGTAGAAAAGTATGCAGGTCTGTTCTTCTGGGTCTTCACTTCCTTATGGAGGCCTTCGTGTCACATAAGACTTACATTAAATAACTCTGTGAGCTATTCTCCTGTTTAAATGAAATAAAGAGTTTAAACTCCTATTTATGAAAAGTATTTTTCTCAGTTTTTAGTATACCTTTTAATTTGATGGAACATTTCTGATCTATAGGAGATTTTAATTTTTATGTATTCAATTCTGTTAGATTTCTCCTGGAAAGTCTTTCTTTGCTCTAAGATTCACCTGTTTTGTTCTAATATTTTTATTTAATTAAAATTTTTTTTTTTGTAATTTAACTCAATCTGTTTGTAGTTTATTCTGGTCAGGGTTATGAAATGAGGACTAAACATTTTTGTTTTCAAATAGGAAACCAATTATCCAAGATCGTTTCTGGTATTTTTTCTGATTTGTGATGTCTCCTTCATCCTAAACTAGATGTGCATGTACTAAAGTCTTCAGTGAGTGTTCACTTGATTTTCAAAGTCGAAACAAAATAAATAATACACTTTAAAATTTCGTTTTTAAAAATAAATCACATTTACCTGGTTCATTTACAAATCAGCAAGGGACGAAACCATTTATAATGTCTCCTTTTTACTCCTAATTCCCAGCTACCCAATAACACTTCCCCAGTGCAACCAGGTCACTGGTTTTCATTGTATAGTATATTTGCCCCTCTTTTATTGCACAAATCATAGCATGCTATACACATTTTTGTACTGTGCTTCCCCCTTTAGCATAAATTTATCTTATAAGCTCATATCTAACCATAAAGAGCTTCTTCATTATCCTTATGACTACAGAGTATTCCAGAAATAGATGTTTCACAATTTAGTTAACCAATAGCTCTTGATTCACTGTGTATCAAATAAAGAATTTAATGGGCATTGACTTCCATCTTCTACCCTCACCCACGTTCTCCAGTTTTAATTAGTGCAATTTGGGGTTTGAGACTCATATTATCGCTGTATTTTATTTTTGTATTCTATCTTCTCTTCTAGGAATTACAATTATTGTTTTACATTTTCATCCAGCTCCAAATTATATTTGCAATAAGTATTTAGACTTTCTTTACTCTTGAACTCTTAAGTTAGAATCATCTCTTGGTCAGCTGGGAAATGGCTTCAGTATTTTTTTTTCTAGAAGGGTAGACATGTGGTATATTTTCTGAGCCCTCCCACATGTAGGTGGACTTTCTGTTGTGTTCACTTATGAACAATCCTTGACTAGGTATAAAATTCTTAGGAGCTCTTTTCCCTCTTAAATGCCTGTAAATGTTTTCATTATCATATCGTACTTCATATTTCCGAGGAGAAATCTGATACCATTTTAAAAAATTCTTTGAAAGTAATCTGATTTTCTTGCCTACAGGCTCACAGAATTTTTAAAATTGATTTATGTGATTCAAAACTTTCTAGAATAAAGCTAGTTTTGGGTACCTTTGTTTTTAATCAAGTTAATAACAGTATAATTTACGTATAATAAAATGCACCCAGTTTAAGTCAATGCCATTTGACAAATACATACACTTATGTAATTAATCAGCACCCTATGAAGATGTAGAACATTTCCATTACTCTGGAAATTCTCTTGTGCCTTTGCCATCTTCCTTAAGTGATTCTCCCTAACCCTACTCTGGTCAACCACTAATCTGAGTTCCATATCTATAAATTGGTTTTACTGCTCCTAAAAATTCATATAAATGAAGTCATTCATGTGTACTCTTTGTGTCTGGCTTCCTTGCTCAGCATGTCTGTGAGATGCATCCATACTGTTGTGGATGTCAATAATTTATTCTTTTTTTAAAAGTTAACAAATAGCAGTCCATTATATAACTAAACTATAGTTTATTTACCAACTCACTTATTGATGGATACTTGAATTTTTGAGGGAGCATTATGAAACATATGCTGTGAACGTAAGCCTTTTTGTGGACAAAGGTTTTGATTTCTCTTGGGTAAATACCCAAGAGTGGAATTGTTGGATCATATAAGTGTATTTTAACTTTGTATCTGCGAAACTGGTTCCAAAGTGATTCAATCATTTTGTGTTCCAGCAGCAGTGTGTGAGAGTCCAGTAGCTGTGCATCCCTGCAAACACTTGATGCTATCAGTCCTTTTAATTTTAGCCCTCCAAGTGGAGTGAAATAGTGTCTTGTTGTGGTTTTAATTTTCAATTTTCTGATGACTAACGATGGTGAGCAACTTTTCATGCACTTACTGTACATTCTTATATCTGCTTTGAAAAGCATCTCTTCATTTGCCCATCTATTTAATATGGGTTTTTTGGGGTTGTTTTATTATTAGATTGTAAGAATACTTTATATACTCTAGATTCTAGCCTTTTGTCTGATACATGTATCTCAGGTATATTCTCCCAGACTGCATGGCTTGCCTTTTCATTTTTTATTTACACTCATACCACTGATTTTCCATAGAGACATTTTGTTCTTAAGTAATTCCATTACAGATTTAAACTGTTATTGTAACAATCCTTGCAGTCCTTCCTTATCTTTATTAATTTGTTACTTTGTTGTCTTTTGATCTCAGTCTGTTGCACTATTTCAGCCAGGTGTCTTCTCATGGCTTTTTACCATTTTTTCATAGAAGTTATATCTTCTCATTTCATAATGGGAATGCCAGTTCTCTAAACTGGTTTTGGTTTTTGTAGTAAATTCATTTCCAAGGCTTGTTCTTCCTCTGAGTCCTCAGAGCAATATTTTCTTTTATCTTTATTCTCATGACTCATTGTGCTCATGACTTTCCTCTCTGGTGTGTTTCAACAGACAGGATGATGTCTCTCCATTTCCCTTTGCTCCATTCACTGTCCCCTTGTGTGCTGCCTGGAATCCCCTCTCTGTTCAACACATGAGAGGTTACTGATGCACTCGGCTTCTTTACCCAGGTTCTAGTGTCTTCTGAATTTTCTAGTGAAGTTCTTTGGAACTCATACAGGGTCTTTTTCTCCCCCCCCCCCGCTTGTTTCCCCAACATGCTGAATTGACTGAGTACATGAAATGCTGCGATCTTGAGCAGGCACTGATACTGGACTCCTCCAGCCTTCATTTCTGGTTTACTTGTAATGATAACTACACCTCGCAAGATGTGGTGTGGGAAAAAAATCTCATGATTCACCAGGGTTGACTTAAGTTATCTGTATTAGAATGATAGTTTAAAAACTATAAATGTATGCTTATAACTCTTACACATCTATAACGCCAATATAAAAGTGTAAATTTAACACAAACCAAATGATTAAATCAATAAAACTCAAATGAGCAACTTCAACCCAATGTAAAGATGATTATTTTGCTGAAATGAAACTGCCCCTTCCAGCATGAATGTGGTGCTGACAGCTCCGTGAAGTTTCTTTTTTTTTTTAACATTTTTTTTATTGAGTTATAGTCATTTTACAATGTTGTGTCAAATTCCAGTGTAGAGCACAATTTTT